AAACTCTCCTAGTTATATCCCTCAAAAAGATTCCATGAAGTCATGTCTAACATTTGCAACTGTATGAATATAAATATTTAAGTTCACTGCAGCACTGTATATCCACACAAAAACATTAAAGTGTGAAAAGACTCTTCCTGCCCTCCACAAAAATTTGTGACACAGAACTTTTTCATAGCCAAATGTGAAATATGATTCATACTCAGAATGCATCATATTTTGCATAGAGACTCCATTAACACTGGAGCCTTTTCGTGTATATAGCCACATAAAATCTCAGGCACACTGGTAAGAAACAAATCATAATTGAGACTGTAGTGGTAGCATCCAATTGGTTAAAGAAAACTACAAAATTACTTCTATTTTACTAACGACGATTCATACATAGATTTTTCAGATACAGAGTCTCATCTGTGGCCCAGGCTAAAGTGCGGTGGCACAATCATACCTCACTACCGCCTTGAATTCCTAGTCTCAAGGCTCCTGCCTCAGCCTGCTGAGTAGCTAGAACTACAGGTACATACCACCACGCCTGGCTAATTTAAAAAAGTACATAAAAAATAGTGAGATGGAGTCTCACTATGTTGCCCGGCTGGTTTTAAACTCCTGAGCTCAGGTGATTCTTCAGCTTTGGCCTCCCAAAGTACTGGGATCACAGGTGTCAGCCATCACACCTGGCCAATGATTACTATTAATAATGCTTTTTTTCCTGTGTTATCAATAAATGCCCCATAAAGTTTGTATTATGTGACTCCCACTACCACTGTTACATAACAGCTCTTGATACATGTTTTAGGTAAACAGCACAATCACCACCACCACCATTATCAAGCAACAACACATGCCCAGGTCCTTTAAAACCTTAGAAATGGAGCAGGATGCAGTGAAAAGTAAAGCGAAAATCTAAAGATGAGCATATATAAATGTGCATGTCTTTAGCATATGAGCACAGATTCTAGAAATTTCTGGAAACTTAAGTCAACTTAAATATTTGGTTCACAGATATTTCCCACCAAACACCTCCCTGTCCTATGCCAGCTACACAGACACACCAAAAGGTAGCTTCCAGATTTCTGCTGTAGATTTAGGAATAGAACAGCTGAATATGATCTGGAAACAGCCACTCTCCTTTGGATTTGATATCAGAATATACTCGTTTCAATTAAAAAGATCTGCCAAGAAGAAAATTCTATCTTCACATTCAATTACCTAAGAAGTTTTCCAAATTTGCCTCGAATGGAGAAAAATATTTTTTTTCCTGGTATTATTGCATGCAAGAATGAGTGGTGAGTATTCTAAATGTGGTTTAGAATGTGAAGTGTTGTAGAATATGCCACTCCAAAATTTGCCACTTTGACATAAGAATTATTACAATCTATAGGCAATGAAAACGGAGGAGACACAAGGAATCTCTCCCTCTTTCTACCAGGAAGGGCAAAGCCATTCTTAATCACCGAACAGCTCTCCTTTATCAACTCAGATGGCATCAGAGGAATCTGCACAACAAATCTCATCAACAATCCCTTACCTCCTGTTAGTTTCTCCCATGGATTTACCTCCCTATGATTGTACGATTGTACCCCCAGAAGCTCAAAATCTTTCTCTTTGTCTTTTTCACTTCTCTAAAAAACTGCTTTTTGTTAAGATGCTATAAAAGTCTAAGCTTTAACCACCCCTCTGAGTTACTCATTCACACGTGTATGTAAATGCACATGTTAATACACTTCTGCTCATTTTTCTTTGTGAATCTTTTGTCAGTCTAATTTACAGGGCCCCAGCCAATCAACCTAAGATGGGTAGAAGGAAAAGAGTTTTTTACTTCCCTTCCACAGTCACTGGAGAAAGGAAGGCATGGTCACCTCCATTGAGGGTCAAAGGTGAAGGAAAAAGAGCGGTCTGATGAAACAGAGAATGAAATTCACACGGCTGAACCCCAAAGGCTTCATCAATCTTCAAATCGGTAAATATTCCTAGTGTGTGGTATTACTGAGGGGACAGACTTTCTGATAAACAGAGTTTATGTCTGGCCTGGCTTGCTACCTTTAATTAACTCAATAGTAAATGAGTTGTACAATGATCTGGTATTTGTCATTGGGGTACTCATAGAGCCTGCAAGAAGTTCTTATTGCCATTCCTTAATCCCTGCGAGTTAGCAGACAGTTACAGCAAACCTGGCTCCACTCTAACGTATGCCATTGGAGCTCTTGGCCCTGGTGCGCTCATCTCCTCCCTGGGTATGTACAATGTTGCCACACTTTCAATTCCAGCAGATTTTGTTTGCCTTATACAGATATTCTTTTTCTTCAGCTCCAGAGGAAATGTTGACACGTGAATGAGGTCAGCGGATGCCACCTCTTATAACATTATGCAAAGAAAAATGCTACTTAAAAATTTAAACCATTTTAACTTAATAATGAACATTGGTTTGGGAGCTCGACAACAGATACAGGCTTTCCCAACCTACTGATTTTCATACCTTACCTATCCATACCTTAATAGTGTTAAGTTGGAGGCTTTTCTTCTTTCCCTGAACTTTAATTACTGATCTGATGAACACTATATTTTTTTAACTGATTGGGGTATTTGTTAAGCCACCTTCACAAAAATCAGTGTTCTTAATTCTCAAATACGGTGTTTGCAGGTTGAACCCAAGCCAGAGCCAAGCTAGCTGTTGAACTTGACATCTAATCCTACAAATTACTCAGTTGATAGATAGAGGAGAGCAACTATCACTTTCCCTTCCTCTTCACTGCCAGCATGAGTGTTTAAACTTTCTGAATTTTCTGGGCCAATATTTCACAAAGAAATAACAAGTGTTTATCACTTTACTAGTAGAGGCTAGGTGATTCATGGGGCTTCTTCCTAGCCAGGTGATTTATTTCCATATACTAGACTCACAGTATTTACCTAAGGAAGATTCAAGGTAGTATATATATCATAGAAATCTTAGCTAGCTCATGACCAAATAAAGTACACGTATTAAATCCATGTATGCTCCTACTAGAGTCAGTTTAGAAATATCTCCAGGTCTTTCTATGCATGCGTCAATCTATAAAGGAAGCACTAGCTCAACCCTGCTTTCCTTACTAATTCTAGGTCTTTGCTCAAAAGCGTTCTTCTTTGGGATGGATTTTTCTGACAGCCTTGTTTTCCTTTATATTCCCCCCCACTCCCGAGTATAAACTCTCAAATTCATCTTAAATAAAGCTGCTAACTTCTCCTTCTAAACATTATATTATAAATATATCTCCTTAGAGCATTTCCTACATTGCATATTATGTGCTTGTGTGATATCGTATATATGTGGGGGTGTGTGTGTGTGTGTGAGAGAGAGAGAGAGAGAATTACACACACACACACACACACACACACACACACACACACACATCTGCCTGGTAAGACAGGTAGACCCTTTAGGATAGAAACTATGTTTTATTTATCTTTCTAATCTAGTGCTGCTTACAGTGCCTGGGACTGTAAATAAATGTTGCTGAATAAATAAAAGTTGAATTTTCTCAAGGCTGGTAGTAAACATCACTTTTGTTTTTCATGGATTACTTCTCTGGAGATACAAGTGGCTTACACTTACTAAACAAATAACATGCTATGAATTATGCAGGAACATCATTACTTCAATACTTCAGAGAGGAAAAGTCAAGAAAAGAAACTTTGTTATTTACTCCATGTTTCACATTTAGCCATTGAGAACCATGTTGCAGAAACTGGATCTCATACTGGACAATTCTGTACTGTACCCATTAGCTTGTGGCATGAGGTAAGTCAAGAGTCAAGAACAGACCCAATTTCTCCTTTTCCTTTTATGTAGTGACCATTAGATTATTACCCCCTTAGCTTTCCAGGCCGAACAGGGGATAATATACTTTAGCAATTGTAAGAGACCAGGAAGGATGCCCCAGCTCTGAGGCAGGGTGTAAGCAAATGACTGTATCCTCTGTGCCCTATTTCCCGCTCTGTGAAAAAGAAAAGCACAATATTTAACAACATCGCCAAGCTATTGTGAGAGTTAATTAGATTTAATGGGGGAAGGGAGGTGAGCTGATTAGGCATGATTCAAAGTGTCATTATTTTGTATCTAAAAATAATCCTGATTTAGGAATAAAATTAATTTGGAAGCTCAATCTTTGGTAATCATCTTCCCATACTTAAAAAAAAAAGCCTTAGTTTTAATCAAAATCTCATGCTAAGTATAATTCAATGAAGTAAAATGGAATTTCCATTCATCTTTAAACTAATATAGCCACAGTTCATTTTTTTTATCTTTCTTTTTTTTTTTTCCCTTAACAATGTATTATGTGTGAAAAGGCTGATTTTGTCGAATGGAGCAATATAAACAAATACAGATTTTGAACCTACTTTTTTTTGTTGTTTCACATCAAATGTTTGTGAAGCACTTTAAATTGCTTCTCTAAAGAATCAATAATCAACGTTTTGCGGTTGAAATAACTTTTCAGGTTGTTCCAGCAAAATTCCATCTGTAGTTTTGTCTAAGAACTCATCAGTTAAGGAAGATCTTAGTAGTCCCCAAATTAAAAAAAAATAAAAAAACAAAAACAAAAAAACCCCTGGATATTTCAGGCTAAGGCATGGAAAAAAAAAACATTGAGGCTGTAATCCCCAAAACTAATGTAACAGATTCACTGACTGTGAAAATCTTCTTGAGAAGTTGAAGTTGGTATCTGAGAAATATCTGTGTCTATATATTTTTCTCTGAAAAAGGGAAAATATTCTTTAATGGGAACATAGATCATATCTGTTAAAAAAATATCACACTCAGGGTTTTTGGTGAATAACGAGTTTTGGCTGGAAAGGAACTCTATCAATTTTTATTTAGAGCTGTCCAGAGGAAAGGAAGACCACATAGTCCAGTTAGTAGAAATGGAGTCTATATAGAGAAATAGGAATAATTCTCTTATTTTTAACACAAGCCCTATTAAAATTTCTCATGAGACCTACAATTACTCATATTAGACTATACTCACCAAGCAAACTTTTGATTATTCATTCGATTTCCCCGGACCCTTGATACTGGCGACGGATGTACCCTGTAGACAGATGAGAACAATTCAGTCATTGAAAAAGCACATTCCCAACTGCAAATTTAAAAAATGGCATCTGTTTTATAAATAATCTCCTTTAGAAATGCTTAATATAAAATCCCCAGAACTTGATCCCCTCTTAGTAAATGATGCAATTAAATTCCTATGCCTGCAAATCTGTGGTTCTGTGGTCCTTTTTTCCTTCTTAACCACTCTGAAGACACTGAAGACTCCCAGAGGCAGGACTGATGCACTCATTCCGTCCAACTATCCCTCGCCAGGTACAAGAGTGGGTAGAGGTTACCTAAGGTATGGTGCGGGCCTTCAGTGAGCCCTCTTTGTACTTGTTGCCATGAGGGTGTGCCCAAAGAGGCATCTAAGTGACCTCTTCTTCAGTCTACTACATTTAAAACTCCAGGGAGCAAGACAACTTGATTCAAATATGCTTTAACGGAATCTGCAGGCACAGGGGAGGAAGGAAGAGTGAACAGGTACTCCTAGGAGAAGTACCTTCTGGAAGTGATGTGCTACCACTGGCCTTTGAAGAAGGTCAAGCCAATTCAAAACTTTAGCCGGATAAAGGAGAAATGAAGAATATATTGCTTTACAAGCTTCCAGGGTTGGAGTCACCCATGGGAAATAGCTTAAAGCTTCCGGGAACTGCTGTTATCTTCCCATCAAAGCCTCCCTAGTAAACCTCCACCTCTCAGTGGGTCACTAACTGGGAAAACAATATGCCCTACTTCTGGCTGTCAGCTTCCTGTTTTGGTCTATCTTTACCAGGATTTGTGAGATCTAAGCAGTCTTAGCTTATATTACCTTCACCCTTTACACTTCATACATTGCTCTTACTTACAAGAAAAACAAATGGGTATATAAAACTGGTCTTAAAGTCTAGTTAGCACCAACAGCTCCAAGATTTGTTAAGAAATCCAGTTCTCTGTAGTTGTTTAGCAAGTGAAAATCATTCCAGAACAGATAATGCAGTTCCAGCCCCGCCAAAGGGCCAACTGCAGGCTTTCCCTAAACCCAGAGCCAGACTGCACTTTGCACTCGGAAGGCTTATTTCTTCCAACATCCCTTATTAACATTCTTTTCCTCACAGTGCTTCTCAATGACTGCTGCAGCTGAGCTGCTCAGCACAGATTTTCTGCTCGGCATGGGGGAGGGGGTGTTAATTATGCAGAAAGATGGAGAGAGGCCAGACAGCCCCTCTGGTGAACTGTCTCATTCAAGCACGGCCCACTTCCTGCTGCTTTGCAGCTACAAGGATCACCTGTTGGTCTTGGCATCCAGCCAAACTGGGGCCTAGTGGAAATGACAGACTCAGCTAGAAATGAAAGCCAGTTCATAATCCAGTATCCCAAATTGGACAAAGAGGGGGGAAATACAATAAAAGTACATAAAAATTATACGAAAGGTAGCAAGAGTAGTTTTTCCCTCTTTTATTCTTTTGTTTTTTATTTCTGTCTGCTTGTAATACAATCCTTAAAATGGATATCTGAGCCAAAAAACTTCTCCCCATTTAAAGCCCCATGACCTAAGAGGAAATGCAGGAAATTCTCCTGAACTTTCCCTATACTCTCAATGCTGTATCAGAGTCCTTTTTAATTAAAGTTTAACCAGCCCCAAACACTCACAGTTCTTTAATTTGTTCTCTATCCTTTAGACATTTATCTTTTTCACTGTCCCCTCCAAAACCCTCGGAGTACAAAGAAATTATTTCATCATGAAAATTCCACCGGGTGAAGTTTAATGATAGAAGTATTCTCTTACTGATGCTGCTGATGGCATACTTTAGTGGAGAAAAATAGGGTCTGTTTAATCCATAATTACAACATTCTCTAGGTATTTGTTATCTTTTAGGAAAACTTCACTGATCCATAGATCAAATACTATAAATGAAGAATTTCTATAATGTTTTAGCAGTCTGAGGAAAAGAATTCCTTAGGAAAGTCTTTGGAAAAGAAGTCCTGACTGTGAGTGTATGAACAAATAATTATAAGGTTTCTTAAATTAAAAAGGTAAATCAAGAAAGTTTCATTTTGTAAGTACACTGATAACTTGGCACATACTCCATCTGATAAAGGAGATCATAAGCCTTGCACTGCACCAAGCCCCTCAATTGTATTTCTTCAAAATTGTATTTCTTCAAAACATGAGCTTCACATGTTTTGTGAGCTCAGTCGTATTTCTTAAAAAGGATATGGCATGTTTTGTGAGCTCAGTCTTTAAACTGTGACACTTTTTGCCATCTTCTTCTGCCTCTTTCTACATATAGAAGCCAGGCAGGTAGCAAAGTCAAAACCTCAGTAGGAAAATCCACCACCTAATCTGCATGTCATGCATTATTCATGACCTCCTGATTCCTGCACCTGCATCTAGGCAGGAAGCTTGCAGGGAATGTTCATTATTCTTCCTTTAGCCTCACACAGGCTCGATTACTGCTAAGCCACTTTGTTCTGTAACTAAGGGTTTTAGGCCTTAGTACTAACTGCTGGATGTGGAAAGAAAAAACACCATGCTCAAGAAAAGGGCAATCTTGGTTGTTGTGTAACATGTATTGAATATTCTCTTCTGAGACTGACAGTTTGTCAGGTGGAAATGCTCACATTTGGTGATTTACATTACACAGAAAACAGGGAAGCTATACCATTAAGGCCATGTGTACCAATTGTTCTATTTATATATACTTACTCATCTGGAGCAGAGAGCATGTTTATAATTTTACCCAGTGCAGAGCTTAATTTAGCTTTCTTGCTAAATATATGAAAGCTTTTTAGATGACTTAATTAAAAAAATGACTCTTTCTTCTTATATTATAAACACCAAAGAACCTGACCCTCAAAACCTTGCATCTTAATGACTAACATTGATAGTTAATCAAGAGAATACCATCACTCTGGTTTCCAGTGTTTTCATAACCCTACCTGAATGGCACCCCCTGGTGACTGGAGGTGGGATCTAACACCCTGACCCCCAACACAAATCATCAGTCACTCATGAACTGCTAGGGGAGGATACTGGTCCCACTTTACTATTTGCACCACAGAAAACCTGTGATAACTTCGTGCAGTCTTATCATCCCAAGTGGAATTAGGATGAAGACGTTAAGAATGAAAATTGTGTGACCAGCCTGGCTGATTGAATCCCAGCTTCACCATTTACCAACTGTCATTTTTGGGCAAATTATTTTAACCTCTCTATGCCTCAGTTTCTTCATCTGGGCAAATGGAGGTAATAATGGTGCCTGTTAGCTAGGGCTGTGAGGTTTAAATCAGTTAACAGCAACAAAATGTTTAGAATGGTGCTCAGTACTTAGGAAGCAGTCAATACATGTTAGCTCTCATCACTAGCAGTGCTGATTAGATGTAAAAGGATAGGAGGATAGAGCTGGACTATCCAGGTCATTCCAGGGGATTAAGATTACAAATCTACAGAGCCGGCAATCTTACCTACTATGCTCATACAACTTTACTAAAGGCAAGGAAACAAACAAACAAATTTGTACAGAGTAATACAAATAAAAAACTATGGCTTATAAGGTATGGCTTACTCTCAAGCAGCTCATTAGAAAACCTATCTTCTGTTTACTAAATTGTATTGTATTTAAGCTATGATCCATTCAAGAACAAGATAGTAATCACAGCAATGTAAATTTGCACCCAGTCACAGAGTCCTTACTATTTGCCTAGCATCATGCTAAATAATTAAGACATATTATCTTAATTTATCCTCATGTCATTACTGTCCACATTTTGTCTTTGAGAAAATAGGCTTACAAAATTAGGTAACTAGCTAGGGTCACATAGATAGTAAAGAGAAAAGTCAGGATTTAAACACAGGTATGTCTGACCTGTCCTACTCACGATGATTTAAGATTACCATCTGATATATATATACACATACATATCAGATGATAACATATATATATATATATATACACACACACACACATACAATAGGTATATATACATATATATGTATACATATATAGTGTGTGTGTGTATATATATATATATAAATATATATATATGCATGTATTCCCTCCACCCAGCCCAGAGGATGTAATAAGATAAATTATTAAATAGGAGATTTTCCATTTATTTAAGCCCAATAGAACATTTTATAATATAAGTAGATACAAAGTGGAATGGTTTTCTTGGACTAAATATGAAGCATGTGGATACTTACAAGAAGTACAGTCCTAATACTATACTTTCATACTCTTTAATACTCTTCAATTGTTTATGAATGTTCCTTGTTATATCAGCATTGCTATTTAAATACATAAGGTACAACATACTTAAATTTTAGGGGGCAGAAATTAATTCTACCTACATCCATGCCTTCTCACATCCATTTTCTCTAGAATCCAATGTAGTTGGTGTCCACACTCCTCTGACGAAACCACCCTCGTCACAGTCATCAGCAGTCTCCATGTTTTCCAATCCAATGGTGAATTCTCAGTCCTCAACTTTCTCAAATTCTCAGCAACAGCTGACTTGACTTATCACTGTCGTTGAACAGCTTCTTTACTCAGCAGCCAAGACATTCTTCTGGTTTTCCTCTTTTCTTTCTCTTTTGCTTGACTCTCCTCCTCTCATTCTTACACATTCTCAATGTTGGCATGGGCTAGCTGTCGCTTTCCTATGCCCTTCCACTCCACTATGTCAACACGCTCTGTAGCCAAAAGAGGCTTCAATGTAGCTACCCTCACGACCTTCCCACCCATATGACCACGAGTCCCAAATGTCTACCTCCAGCCTTAGATCTCTGAATACCAGAGGTAGGTTTCTTAGTATCAACTTTTCTCTGAAAAAAACAAAAACAAAAACAGGTGTTCCTTCTCGTATCTTCCCAGTCTCAAAAATGGCAGAATTATTCACTCAGTTGCTTAGGCCGAAAACAATAGAATAAAATGTGAGTCCACTGTGCTCACTTGTGCTCTATGTAAGAGAGGCTGTTTCATACTGAGACGAATGAGAACAAATGACTATTTCACA